AAACAACTCCCTCCCTCCAACTACCATAAAGAAACAACAGTCATAGTTCTTGTAGGCCCTACACAAAAACAAAGTTTGGTGCTCTTATGATCCCCTAGCAGTGCAGCAGCCAGAGCCCAATCAAAACTATTCCCCGAGTTCTCCTGCCACCTAATCATCAGAGATGCTGATACAAACACAAGGAAGCAAAGAGTTACTTTGTTCTCAAGCACCCACACAGTTCAGTGGTTGTGTGTGTGTATTGAGATGTAACTTTCCTGTTTGGCAAATAACAAGTGTGCCAGATAGTAAAGTTAAAACTCAGAAGAGGAAATATATACTTTTTTAGGCTTCTAAGAAGTTAGGAAAAACGGGAATGGTACACTGTATTTTGAGTGGGGGGAGGGGAAACAGATGGTGTTCCTTTATAAGTCAGTTACAGCTTTATTAAGGGATAGCTCAGTGGTTTGAGCATTGGCCTGTTAAACCCAGGGTTGTGAGTTCAATCCTTGAGGGGGCCACTTAAGGATCTGGGGCAAAATCAGTACGTGGTCCTGCTAGTGAAGGCAGGGGGCTGGACTCGAAGACCTTTCAAGGTCCCTTCCAGTTCTAGGAGATAGGATATCTCCATTAATTTAATTGAGATAGTAACCCTGTGGGACAGGGATGTCTATTACTACATATAAACGCTTTATTAATGTACGCCTTCATGTCCTGGTGACGATGACAGAGACCAGAGGCCAGCTGCTTCAACCAGTTCTGCAGAGTTGGTTTATTCCCGATGTTTTTGCCAAGTACATTACATTGCCTGAAAGGCTTTATCTCCCGAATAAAGAAGAACAGGAGGACTTGTGAATGTTCACAACACCGAGTAAGGACAAAAGCCAGCTGCCAGATTCAACATTGCCTTTCACACCCAATATGGAATCCAGAGACGGCCTGGGTGAAAAGCACGGCACTGAATGAAAACAGCTGCAGGAGAAGAAGAGAAGTAGATGGGAATCGGAGAGCAACCCCCCAGCCAACTCCTGACTTCCGTTCTGGATTTAAAACGGTTGAGTTTCACTCCTAGTAACCAGTAAACTTCCCTTTCTCCACCCCCAACACACTCAGCTTGCATAGAGAAGCCTTGTGCTGGGAAACTGCCTGGGGGTCTCACCCCCAATCCCATTAGCCCTCTATTACTGCTACTCTAACCCCCCATCTGGAAGCGCCCACAATGACTCTCCCACTAGGGCTGTGTAATGGAGGACCCACTGGCTTTCCTATACCTCTCCCACGGCCTGCCGCCGAGCCTCCTTTATCCACCTTATTCGGAGCCCTGCTCTACTGTGTGCAAGTGTGTGGAGCTCCTTTGTGCATCAGAACTGCAGCCACCCACTCCCCAAGCAGCAAAACCATGGCAGTTCCACGATCTCGAGGCCTCATAGTACGGCTCCTCTGCTAAATAAATTTCACTGCAAGTGACTCTTCCTGAGCCTGAAGCAACGTAATCCCAGGACACACACACTGCCTTTTTATAGTTACTGGCTTGGCTTGTACAGCCAGGACAGCTCTGGCAGAAATACTAGGTGGACCCAGGTTTCAGAGGGGTAGCCGTGTTAGTCTGCAGTAAAACAATGAGGAGTCCTTGTGGCACCTTAGAGACTAACACATTTATTTGGGCATAAGCTTGTGTGGGCTAAAACCCACTTCATCAGATGCATGGAGTGGAAAATACAGTAGCAGGTATACATATACAGCACATAAAAAGATGGGAGTTGCCTTACCAAGTGGGGGGTCAGTGCTAACCAGGCCAATTCAGTTGACAAGAGGGGGTGAATATCAACAAAGGGGAAATTACTTTTTGTAGTGCTAATGAGGCCAATTCAATCAAGGTGGATGTGGCCCATTCCCAGCAGTTGACAAGGAGGTGTGAAGTATCAGAGGTGGTGGGAGTATCAACAGAGAGAAGATTATTTTTTGTAGTGACTCACCCATTCCCAGTCTTTATTCAGGCCTAATTTGATGGTGTCAAGTTTGCAAATTAATTCCAGTTCTGCAGTTTCTCGCTGAAGTCTGTTTATGAAGTTTTTTTTTATTGAAGAATGGCGACTTTTAAGTCTGTTATTGAGTGTTCGAGGAGACCGAAGTGCTCGCCTACTGGACACAAATCAGACATCAAGAACTGTAACATTCAAAAACCAATAGGAGAGCAGTAGGAGATATATTTGCTTGTGTGTAGGCATATGGGCTGGGAAAACACTGTATCAATATGTATTTTACCTTCACTCTTTTTCCTTTTGGCAAACATCCATATTACAGTGTAGATGGTAATTGACATAGGGTGGAGACCTGATCCTTTCTGAATCAGCATGCTGTAGAACCTTGATTCATCCCCACTTGCCATGACAGAGTGATTATCTTAAATGAATAGTGTTGTGGTTAACTAACTTTGAAAAGCAGAGTTGAATGTGAACATGTATGGAGCCATCACACACACAGAATATGTTTTATTCTAGGCTCCATCACTTATAAAAACAATTAGCTCAACTCAGACACTATAGTATATAAAACAATTCTATATCCTTTGTGTGAAGGTGCCATTAGGTATCATTAGGAGTAATTAGAAAGGACACGTGGTATACACCAGGATAGATCTGAAGAGGAATTTGGGACACACTCTTGACTTTACTAAGACAAAAAGGTTGGGAAGTCCAAAATTTAGCGTGTCTATATTTTATTTTATGTATATATTTTATTCTTTTATATATTTGCTAATTCTGGTTACTTCATGAGCCATATAATTATCTTGCTACACACTGATTAATGCTGTGCATGTACAACACTGACAGACCCCAGTGGTCAGGATCAAACCTGGGACCCCTGGAGCTCAGTGCATGATCCTCTGCTGCATGAGCTAAAAGCCAATTGGCTGTTAGCTAAGGCTGTCGAGCAGACTCATTTGATCTCTCTCTCTGTGGTCTCACTGCCACTAGAAGGGACAGAACACCACACCCAAAAGGTGTGTGCGTTACACATGCATTTAAAGGGTCCTGGTGTTTTTTTAAAAATGTTTCAAAGCTATATAATTAATACTAGTCAAATGCTTATGAGGAACCCTACCATAACAAACCCATGTGCCTATGTGATGCAGAAAAACAAAACATCACTGGCTAAAAATAGATTTGTATCTAAAGCTACCAAAGGATTATTTAAACAGTCATTTGTTTACCATTTCTATATTCAAAGTCCATTACAGTAGTTAACTAATCCCTCACAACATCCCTGAAGGTAGGTCAGTTTTATTATCCCCATGGAATAGATGGGTAAACCGAGGCACAGGAAGGGTGAAGTAATTTGCCTAATCCTACTCCCTTGCTGATTCTGCCAGACCTCGCACTGAAGATATGAAAAAGACTCAAATTCATGCATTGTCATTGACTTCTAGGCAGAATTCCCCACTGATTTCAGTGGGGAGTTTTGCTTAAAAATCAGACAGGATATGTCCTTTAGAAAGTGTCCTTTAAAAATAATTAGTTTGCTGCATACGGAGAGATGACAAGCTGAAAGTTTGCTTCCCTTGTTACTGATATTGCAATTAGATCCACACAGGTGAGCCCACTAAGATAGGAATGCAAAATCTGGGCCTTTAAGCACAACTTGTGCTGGTTTGTTGAATTTATCCAGATGTTGTTGTTATTATGGACTGAATCTTTGTTTCAAAGGAAGTTTAAATTGCCAGAGAAATGTCCTTTGCTTTCTTTTTGCCCAGGAACATCCTGTACTGTGCTTCAAGCAGTTCTGTACCCTTGGCTCAACAACACTAAGGTGAGAAAGAAATGTATACCTAATCCCAGATGCTTCCTTCACTTTTGTAAGAAACATTTGATGGGCGTTCATATCTTGCTGTCTTTCCATAACCCAAACTCCCACCGAATGGGGATATTCTGTGAGGGGCTGCAGGATCAGAGACTTGAAGTAAGCAATTGCTTTATGTCATAGTATGGAATTGCATTTATGCTGTTCTGTATATGGACTTGAACCTGCAAACACTGAAGAACATTCATAACTGACCTATGTGAGTAGTCCCACTTACAGCTATGGAACCAGTCACCTGAGTAAAGTTATGTAGTGGCTTGAGTATATATAATATAAGTGTGGCCTAGTGGATAGGGAACCAGACCGGCAGCCCTGTTCAGTTCTTGGGTCACTGCCATCCATAGCCTTCCTGTGTAACCTCAGCCTGTCACTCAGTTCCATATCTGTACAATGGAGATGATCGCCTCCTACCTCAAAGGGATGTTGTGGGAATAAATCCATTAATGATTCTGAGGTCCTCAGATACTATGGTGATAAGGGGTCATATAAGAGACACTACATTGACAGAAGCATTTGTAGGATTGAGGCATATGCTCCCAATCCTGCAGGGGGCTCTGGGCAGGTGAAGCCCTGAGCTCATTGCAAGGACCTCAGTTTCCCCTTTCTAATCCTTACATTTTGTATTAATTTATTTACACAGACGAGTGTGAAAAGCCAGAACAAAACAAAAATATTACATTTCTAATTACATTAATAAACCAGATTCATCCCTGGGTGTAACGCCCTTCACTTAAGCAGAGTTGCATCAAGGGTGATTTTGCCCTATTAATTTAATCATTCGTATTATTGCCCCCAGGAGGTAGAGGCATGGCTGTTTGCAAAATGTTGCCTGCTTTTTTTTTCTCCAACAGGAGGCAGGTTTTGATCTGCAAGGGGACTCTCTCCGAATCATTCACTCCCTTTTCCTGCTTGCTGAATGTGTGAACTCGGGATTAGCAATACACAAGGCACCAGAAAACAACACAAAGAGTTTGTGCAATAACCCGTGGGGCTGACACTTTCCGATCCCAACGCGGACAAGACGTCCCAGCCCCTACACCGAGAGGGCCCTTACCCCCTAGGTTAGGGGTGGAAACCTCCTCCCTCCTGTGTCCCCTCCCATTGGGGGCGTCCCCAGCGTGTCCACGAGCTGTGATGACACCGGCCTATATAAAGCCATGCTGCGGCGGCGCTGCCTCTGAAATCCCGTAGACCTTGGGCTGTGTTTTGTGGACGTGGAGTGCACTCCCAGTATCTCCTTTGCAAATGGGCTCTGTGGCCTAGCGTTTACTCCCCTGAGCCTCGCCACCTGTGATCTCAAGCCGTGAAGGTGCTGCTGGCAGCAGCGCTGAAAAGAAACAAGGTAAAACAACCCCCCCCCCCCACACACACACCCCACTCCCCAAAAACCCAGTCGGGTTGGGGCTTCCGAGAATAGCTGCGCCAAGGGAAACTTTGAGCAACTGGTGGTGGGGTGAGCTAGGGATGCCGGAGAGGGGTGGCGGGTGACTGCAGATCTGTGCGACCGCAGCTTTGTTAAACCGAGTATTGTGTTGATTTGGGGAAGGGCTGATTTGGTGTGTTTTCTCCGCTTCCAGACACGCTGCCAAGCCTTGCTTGTATGGGGAGACCAAAGAGGACGGTCTCGCCCCAGATCTCGCTTTTAAAGGCTCTTTTGAGTGTTTTCCTCTCATTTGAGGGATTTCTCTTCTCCTCCCCCCCCCCCCTTTGCTCTGCGTTGTAATGAAACACGCGATCTCCCTCGGTGAAACTGGCCCAGGATTGACACGGCCTTTCCAGCTCACCGCCCTACAGAACCTTTAGGCACGGGGCAAATAAGGGACGTGGGTGAAGATTTGAAGCGGAAGAAAAATAGGGTTTCCCCGTGTCTCCCCGAAACAGGAGCGAAACGGGCTCCCGGTGGCTTTGTCAGTTGCATTGTAAGTGACATGGATGGGGTTTACTCGTTACCAGTGCCTGGGTAGGGGCCGGTGTCCCGACGTTCCACCCCCGTGTCCCGACGTTCCACCCCCGTGTCCCGACGTTCCACGGCCCACCTGGGCTGGCCCCAGTCAGAGCTGCGGGCACCCTAGAAGAATTGCGCTGAGTTCGTTCGGGATGTTGGCAACTGTTTCCTTTCCGCAGAGGACGCTCCCCCCATGTGCAGGGTCTGCTGCTCCGTCTTTGTCTTGGTTTTTTTTTTTTTCCTCGCATGGGTCTTGGGGAATCTTTTAACCCAAACCAGTTGCTGTGCAATCTCTAGACACAGCTTCGCTATGGGGGTGTTGCTGCAGCTGCCCTTTGCTGATCGTAGAGCTGAGAGGGCATTGCTTTCTGTGCATGGCTTTTTTGTTAGCCTAGGATACGAGACTGAACATCCGGACACTCCTCTCCCCCCCTCAAATCCTTGACATGCTTTTTTCCTCTCTACCGCTCTTCTTCCCCCAAAAATTACTTGAGGGACGTGCTGAGCGAGTTGGATCATGCTTGTGGGGAAGTACAGGACTAGAAGCCAGGCAAGGGGGATGGGATGGGGCTCTCTGTAGGTTGCTGCGAGCCAGTTCAGTCCGGTTTTTTCAGCTTGTGTGTTCTAGCAGAGTTCCCCACCCCCAGCTGCAGGCAAGTAAAGAATTCTCTACAAGAGACGAGAGACAAAAGAAATGGCCACTTCCTCCCCCTCTGTAAATCAAACATGTTTTGATGATTTCCCTTCAGTTTACATAACCCTAGTCACTGACTCCCTTCCCCCCCCACAACCCACACAGTTTTCTAAAAATGTTAAAGCCATCCCCCGTGTAGAAGTGCAGTCTATTTTTTCCCATCCAGCTAAGAAGTGTGCAAGCGGTGTGAATCTGTCCCTGTTCTATTTCTTCTGCATTAATTGTATTGCCTCATCAAACGTGCTCTGGAGGAAGGGAAATGGCTGTGTGTGGTGATTCTGATTAAACTGGTATGAACCAGATTTCATTTAAACTCGGTTCTTCTAGGCAGTTTGTGAAGGTTTTACTAGATGTGCCAACTGCCTTTGCTAACCCAGCACTGCTTATGGCTACATGACCTTGGTCATTTTTGACTAGCAGAATCTTCTACTGGATGGACCATGTTGTACATTCATCTGCATTTGATTTCCTTGAACACTAAAATCTGTAAGGAGACCACATCTGTTGCAAAACAAGCAAGTTTGTTAGACACACAAATGTGTAGTAGAGGTTTATTTGCCAGTTAATATGCAGCTGTTACCCTTTCCATCAAACCATTTCAGTCATTCTTGATCATGGAATGAAAGAGAAATCTGATGAGGCGCTTACTATCCATAGTTTGATACTTTAAGGAAAAGTGCACTGGATACACCAGAGAAAACTGATCACATCTGCCAGCAGAACCTTTCATGCAGCAACATGCTTGAATGCTGATAACTTTACAAAGGTGTTTTATAAGCTGGTAATGGGGATTCTTTTTAACTTAACTTTATTGGTTCATGTACCATCTTCTTAAAATATTATTGTGAAATGAATTGATAGAAAATATCAAGCGGATGTACTACAGTTTGGGAAGTACT